ATCGCCCATGGTTTTTAGAAGAGAAAATGAAGAAACTGCCAAATTTTAAAATAGAATATACTTTAGATCCTGCCAGACTTCTTCTTTTTTTTTTTTTTATTGGGTATCCTATAAAAAAATCAAAGTTTGACATTTTTGCAGAAAATGTGATTGAAATTCTCCCCCCAAAAATTCGCTCATAAATAAAAAAATATAGTTTCCAGGAAGGCCTGTCCACACCACAACTAACATTCATTTATTTCTCCTATCTGACTTTTGGCAGAAATTAAAATGTTCAAATGGCATTTGAACTCAAAAAATAAAATAACATAAGATAAATGTCATCTTGTTTTAATTTATTTTTTAAATATATAGCACAATTATTATTCAATCTTTATTAAGCGTAGGACTAGGAGCATATTACGTTAGAAGCTTTTAAAATTTTAAATTTTTTTAATATAAGACTAAAGGGGGCCATTTTATCTGATTTGCATTTTTCTATAAATCAAAAATGTTATTTATTTATTTATTTGATCACGTCACTTGGAATTTATCTGTAATTACATCATATCTGCTATAACAATTCGAATAATTTTATGAATTGATTGGTTTGTAGCTCTTAAAATAAGTAAATTTAGAAATTTATCCAACCCGCTCCAAAATCTAGAATACTGTGAATGATACAATAAAAGAAAATTTCAGATTAATTGATGATCAATTTTCCATTCATTGAGGAATTGTGTTAAAAATTAACATCCTTTATTGGGGAGGATCATCCAATAAAGTATGTATAGCTAAACATAATTAGAATGGTATACATTAACATTTATTTTTCACCTGTTATCAATTGCTTTAATAATTATTTGAAATAATAAATTTGATAACTATTTATTTTCTATTTTTGAAATTAAGCTTATAACTACTACTTATCAAAATCTAAATCAAATGTTGTAAAAAAAGATATTAATTTCTAAAAACTTGTTTTTCTTTTTAGAATTTGGCTAACAATTTAAATGCGTTTTAAAAATGAAAAAAAAAAGTCCCAATATAATTAAAAAAAATTAGAAAAAAAACATAAATTTAAAAAACGAAGAACTAAAAATGATATGTCCAAATAATTTTAACTCCTTTCGTTTTATAGATCCTAGAAAACATGCCACGAACAGAAAGTTATATACAAATTGGATGACTTTTAAATTGGCCCAATCTTGAAACTGTAATCTCTTTAATAGTCCTGCATGTTGGAATATTTGAACAGATATAAGGTCGGTAGCTCATCTGCTAATATTTGTCTTCAATTTTGTAATTTTCTTCTTCTTTTTCTTTTTTCTCGTTCGTATGCAAAACAATTCTCACCATTTAATATTAAGTCTTGTTAATTATTATTATTTTTAAAATAAAAAGGTCTTATTGGTTGTATACGTTTTATTTTATTT